GAAATAATTTTATACTTGAGAATATGCTTTTCTCCAAAAAAATTTAAAGTTTCTAAAATTATGGTTTTCCCAAATGTTGATTTTTTATGAAATCTCTTAATAAAGTTTATTCCTAAGGGTTGTAGGAATATTCTAATGGTGAAATTTTGAGATTTTTTTCAAAATACTATTTTTTCTAATTTCTAATTAATTTAAATCCGAAAATAGAAATTTATTTAAATTAAATTAGGATTAGGGTAAAGGGTTAATTTGGTTAAATTATGAATTTTTAGAATATATGCTTGCTTTATGTGATCATTTGGAGAGAGGGAGAGGGAGAGAGAGAACTTAGGGTAGATTAGGAAGAGAATGAAAACTTTAATTTAGATTTATTATGAAGAATTTTGAAGGAGAAATTAATGTTTATAGCTGATAATCGCGGACCTCGAAGGAAGTTGTTCGAGCGGAGTAATCAAATCTTTTAAATCAAGAGCTCAGGATATTCCATATTTACATCATTTTCGAGTTGAAACATTCTACGTAGTTAATGATATGCAACTTCAAAAGTTAAATAATCGTTTTACAAAAATGAATACGGAGTTGCTTTTGTCTATTCCTATTTGAATTCAAATAATTCTTTTTTTGCATTTTATAAAGACAGATTAATTCATTTGACAAATCTTTATCTATGTGATTTTAGTCATGTTAATTTGACAATTCTTGAAAATCAGTTGGAAACTTATATCATGAATATTTAATATGATCCCCAATTTTCATTATTAAAATATTTTAGTCCTGCTGAGACAATGATACAAAACAAGGACATTTTATATCTTTTTATTTTTCACTATTAAAATTTACTTTAGTCTTGACGGTTGTAACAGTAGGAGTTGAAAGAGCATTTTCTGCAATGACTATTATAAAAACTCATATTCGAAATAAAATTGGAGATATCAGTGGATGAATGATACTTTACTCGTTTATATTGAGAAATAAATATTAGATTGTATTGATAATGATATTATTATTCATTTTTTCAAAATATGAAGAACAAACACTATAAATTGTAAGTATTTTCATCTTATATTTAGTATTTATTTTTTAATTTTTTTTTTAAATTGCCATTACCGATCCTAAGCCCAGATGAAAAAATTTGAAGGAATTATTTTAAAAGAAAAATTTGTGCCTCCTCTAGAAAAAATTTTTGGCTCCGCCACTGGCCAAGAGTAATCACCTAGCATGTGCTCCGTTCAAATACATTAAATACTTGAATTTAAGGTTCGAGAACAATTCACAAGTTAAAAAAAAGAATGAATCCAACTCTTATTCATCTCAAAAAGCAAGAAGTTTTGAATGATGCACGGAAATCTTGGAGATAAGAAGTGATTTTGATTTGGTGTCTGGTTTGATCAGCTTTTGAATTGGGTGTTCCTATGAGCTATATGTTCATCCAAATGCTGATATAACCATACAAATGCCATGCTAGAGACCTAATTAGCCCCAATAGTCCCAGACTCATTTCAATTAAGAAGACACTAAAAATCTTAAAAAAATTAAGAGAATTGTTCAAATGTATTGTCACGATCCGACCCGGTGAGCTCGCATAAAGGAGGCGGGAATGAATGTCGGACTTAAATGTTAGAACATAATATGCCAATATCATTAAAATATGAAATATGTGAATCTAAAACAACTCAATGGATAATTAGCGCATCTAAAAACAACTTTCAATTGTATAACAAAACATTTCATATGTAAGTATCATAGGATTTATAAAGGATGGCTAAAAGTTTATCATGTCAACATCCACCCACAAAATCATTTTGCAACAACTAAAGAAAATATATTAGGAATTATCCTCCGGTCCTCTATGAATGTACGTAAATCAGGGTCGTTCAACCATTCGCCTAGCAGCAGAGTCTATTGAAAAGCATTAGAAAACTAGGAAATGAGCTAAACTCAACAAATAACAATTACATCTAAACTCATATGCAATATAGATGAATCAATATGAATGTTAATTAAACTTGTATATATATCTATAACATCTTTATGAAATGAAATGAATAGTTTGAGACATAAACTTCTAAACTTCCTTTTACATTGCTCATATAAATATAAACATCCCTACTAGAGTACCCATATTGTACTGGTCATATACAATATCATATTTGGCCATTTATCATCATTTTTCTCGAAGAGTTGTATTACCCTGAAGAGCCGTATTATGCAAGTGCACTGTATTGGTACTCTGCCTCAACATTCACAAACTTACATACATTGATATCATAACATAAGATGATTTAACATATGAACCATACACATCTTGAACATATCAACCATACATATATTTGATCCACTAAAATGAATTTGATTAAACATGAAAGTGAACTTTTGTACAAATGAAGAGTTTTCTATCTAAACATGAAATGAAACATAAACATCCATATGCAACTCAAGATGCAAATAACATCTTAAGCATAATGCAACATAATTACAATTATGGCCATGTGCAAGACAAAATAATTAACCTCTTAAAGAACAATTGCAACATAAACATACTTAAAAGAAAAAATATGAAATTTAGAATGTAATTATCACTTTAAGCACTTTGCAAATCTCCTCGAACCAATCTCTTCTTAGGTTTAACACCTAAAGAAAATAATTACTTAATTTAATATACATGCCTATTCTCCTTTTTCAAATGTTCTTATTAAATACTTTCCTTCTCTAATTATTTTACCTAAGCAATTAATGAATTTTAACATAAAAATTTCGGATTTAATTAAAATCCTAATTTTAGGAACCCAAAATTTTCATATTTCCTTCCAATTAAAATTTAACTTATTTTTCATAACCTATATTATAGTTAAACCTAATTACTTTTCAAATTAAATTAATTTAGAGATTTGGGAAAAAATATTTGTATCAAAATCTCATTTTCTCTTAATTAGAGCCCTCCCAAGACTCCTAGGAATAATATTAGTTAATAACTTAGCTCAAAATATCAAAATTAGGAAAAACCTTAATTTTTGAAATCACAAAAACTTTAGGATAAATTCAAATTTCATGCTTAGAAGTGTTTTTAAACCCTTCTTAACAATATTCCTAAGAAAAAAATTAAATTTTAATGAAACCCTAATTTGGAGTTTTGAGCAAAATTTCATTTTAATAAGTTAGATTCATGTCTTAAATCATGTCTTAAATCATTCCCTATCATTTTTTCTTTGAAAATCCTAAGATTTGAGCAAACCCTAAAATTTAAAACTAAGAAAATCTAGGGAAAAAAATGAGTTTCTTTGCAAGAGAAGCTTACCTCCTTCTTCCTTAGCCTTTCCCCTTTGATTTCCCTCCAAGACTTCGCCGGAAAGCACCGCTGCCCGCCGGATTTCGCAAGCACCCGACACCTCTTCCCCTTCCACGCGTGCGGTCGAACGGAAAGGATGCAAGGGACCGAATGGTTCTGTCCCTTAGGTGTATGAGGGCTTAAGGAAGAGAAATAAATGCCTGATTACACGTGCACCTTTCTCCTAATAGTTTAGGATCATAAGAGTAATTTGGGTATAAAGGTGAAATATTACTTAAACTAACTTCAACGATTTTTAGTTTTAAATTCGTGCGAAATTAGGTATAGGTTCTTTATGTCGTTTCGATCGAAATTTCGCGTAGAATTTAATAAATTTTTTTATTCGAATTCCGACGACTTCGAAATTTTTCCTAATTTTGTTGCGGTGCATTGAAATGTGTGCTATGCATCTGAATGATATTTTTCGGGTTTTACATGTATTGTATACATCATGCAAGAACTATAACTACTTTTTGAAATTGAAAATTTTGAAATTCAAAATTAAAAATGTTAGTCATTGACTGATAGCATGCTTTGTTTTTTGTTCTTAAGAATGAATATGTTTTGTTCTTTGATTCTCATCAGTACAATACCCAGTTTACCCACTTTCACGTGCTGATTCTTATCTTTGAGCTTGTTTGATTCTCATCAGTACAATATCTACTTGCACGTGATTATTGTTATCTATGTTCTTGTATAGATCTTTCAAATTGATTGTCTATTTGATTCCTAGTTCCAGTTTTTTATTGTTCTATTTTTATGCTATGTTAAAGTTGTTTTGTAACTCGCGAGCACATAATTTTAATGTATTAAAAAAATTTGAGCAACATAAAAGAATGTTGAAAACAGGATACACAAATGGAGCCAAGGAGTGTTTTCCTGGATTACTTTCAGTGCATTTTGCAATAACAACTGTGAAATAAATACAATACTCTTAAGAACTAGGTAGTGCATTTTTAATACCAGTTTGTTAAATTAATAAATTTTTTTGCATCACCTCCTAGTTTTATTGTTGGGGAGCATCTAGCATTGCGATTTACATTCCTATTCTTGGCACATGCCCCCTATGCCCTGTTATGCCTGCCATCAAGGACGATCCTATAAAACGGTTCCCCTGCAAGACATCCCGTTATGCAGCAATGCATTATCTTGTTTTTTTACCCACTATAATATGCCTATATCCAATATTCCTTTTAGACAACTGATAAGTTTCCTTCCCTCAGTTGGGTTTCTCATGAGCAATTCAGTTGTACTAGTTGAACCTATAGGCCTATTTTTTGACATTAGTAATTAGCATATTATACTTTTTCTAGAAATCAACCTTGTTGTTTCATAATTCTGTCATGTTAGCATGCTTCTTCATTTTCTAATGTATTGGTCAATGGCGGGTAATTATACATCTTTTTTTGCATGCTAAAACACATAATTGGCAGAAGAGGTTTTTTTGGTATTTTTTTAATTTGCTTACCCTACATCTTTGCTGACCCCAAATTGTTGGGGATAAGGTTAATGATGATGATGTTCTGCTTATCCCCCTTCCCAGTGATAGCGAAACAAGGAAGAATGATGAATCTATAATAATAAATACATGATTTGTCAACATTTTTATTTATCCACATTAATATAACCATTAGTGGTTTGTATTTCTATGTTTTTACCATCATATCTTGTACAGAAAATGTCAAGCATGGTTGAAGATTGGATATCTCAGGCAAATGCAAAACAACGACGAGGGAGAGCTGGTCGTGTAAGGCCTGGAATTTGCTTTTGCTTATATACTCTCCATAGGTTTGAGAAACTCATGCGCCCCTTTCAGGTCTTCTTTCTTTCTCAGTAACCTTGTAATGCTGTCTTAGTTTTTGTGCTGCAATCACATTTTATGTATCAATTTTTAAATGCATTTATGGTACCATGGTATTCAAGCACTAAAGATATCATGGTCATCATTTCATGAACACTTTTATTATATGCTTTCCTTTTAAATGGAAAAGTTTAAATTTTTTTATTATTATTTGAAAAAAGATCTATAAGTAAACCTCTCAAATTGTCGGTGCATTGAACAAATACAAACTAGTAATGAGAAGAGACACTGCTTAAAATTGAGTAAAAATGAGTTATGTTCGCCTTTTTTTTATTTTTTTCACAAGAAAGGATAGCTTAAGGAATGATTATATCTGAGGAACAATTAACATCCATTGAATATAAGATAATTGAAAATATATTTAGGTTGTTTGAACGCTCCGTGCTTCCAAAATTCACTCCCAACTTTACAGAGAGAGTTTCCATTATGGAAGCCCTAATGGGTCTCACTTGCTTAATTAAACAGCGTTTAGGAGAGAAAATTTGAATTAGAGGTTGTTTAGGGATTTTGTAAGCCTCCTTTGGCCTTAATTAGTCTTTTGGAGGTTAGGGTTAGGGTTATCTTGAGATTGGCTGAAATTTTGAGATTGAGGTTTGTTTTGGTGTGGGCTATAGGTTTGTTAGAGATTTGGAGAGTATTTCTTTCTCTCGAATTGAAGAAAATTGTATCTTGCTTTGTTTTTCTTGTTCTTGGATTGAATCAAAGTATTTCTCGTGTTTCTTCTCCAATCTACTATATTCCATGTATTTTTCTTGCTGATTTCCCCTTGAAATCAGCCATGTTTCTCGCTGTTTTTGCGAATTCTTGCTAGGTTTGCTTGTGAACTCAAGTATTACCCTTAGGGTTATTTACGAACTCAAGTACTTCCTATCAAATTGGTATCAGAGCGTTGTCTTGGGACCATTGGCGGCTCAAATCCAGAAATTTCAGCAAAGAAATTTCATCCGCAAGTTCTTCTTGAAAGCCTTGGGAAGGAAAATAGCCGGAAGGAAAGTTGAAGTATTGGAGGGAGAAATAGGTAAACTAAAGACAAATTTTGAGTAAAAAATTGCTGATTTTTAGAATCAATTTGCTTCCATCCATGAAAAAGATGGATGGAAGGTTCGTCGCCTTGGAAGATATGATGAAGAAGATGTTTTAGGGCAAACAAAATCCGATGACATCGCAAGAAAGGGAGACTACCAGTAACAATGGGAGATGCATAAATCCGAACTCATTTAGGGGGAAGGAGAATCCATAAGTGGAGATCCTTGAGGAAAATGATGGAATGCCTCATCTATAACCATTTTCTAGAGAGGAGATGAGTATGGGCTATGAAAGGATGGGTGTTGATTTTGTGGGGAAAAGGGATGATTTTTACCGCCGGGGTGCTGAATATGAAAGGAGAAGAGGGGAATATGAGGAAGGGCTCGGGTATGATTGACGGAGGGAAAATCGTGACCACTGGGGAGCACTTTCTATTCAAGGAATGGGAGGTTATGGAGTTAGGGGAAACAGGGGTGACTCGAGGGTGAGGAAACTGAAGATGCTCATCTTTGAGGGAGAGGACGCACATGGCTGGATCTACAAGGTAGAGCAATACTTTGCAGTCAATGGATTGATTGATGAGGAGAAATTGACAGCGGCAAGACTGTGTTTGGAAGGGAAGGCACTGGCATGGTACCAATGACGGGACATGAGACGACCCATTCGATGCTAGAGGAAGTTCAAGGACTGTTTACTAGAATATTTTCGAACCAATAGGGGTGTTCAAAGGTGTGGGCCAAGTGGCTACCATTGATAGAGTATTGGTACAACACGTATTATCACTCAGCTTCTCAGATGAACTCAGTCAAAGTGTTGTATGAAAAAGACCCCTACACTTGGTGCATTTTGGGCATGGGAGCGCACCAGTCTCTTCAGTAGAGTTGTACTTGGAGGAAAGGGATAGGATGCTAGAGGAGTTGAAGAGGCACCTGATGAGAGTACATCAGATTATTAAGAAGCAAGCAGAAAGACACATGAAAGACTTCCAGTTCCAAGTTGGGGACAATGTGTTTTTAAAATTACGTCCTTACAGATAGAGGATAGTGGCCAATAGGAGAACGAGAAACTGACCTCGAGGTATTTTGGCCTGTATTAGATATTAGAAAAGATTGGTGCAGTGGCTTATTGCCTGAGGTTTCCCCTGACTGCCAACATACATCCAACGTTCCATATATCACAGCTGAGGAGGGCCCTAGGGGAGCATGCCGCTAGTGCGACATTACCGGCGACATTGACTAAAGATTTGGAGGTGGTGTTGAAGCCGTTTAAGCTTAATGGGGTACAGCACGGAGAAGGGAGGGATAAGGAAGTCTTGATTAAATGGAAGAGCCTACCAGACTATGGCTCCATCTGGGAGCCATACGAAAGGGTGAAGTCCCAATTCCCATCATTTCATCTTGAGGACAAGGTGAGTGTTTGGGAGGGGGTATTATTATACCGGCTAATGAGCTGGTTGATAGGTTTGGGTCTATTCCAGTTGAAATAGACCTACCACCCAGCAAAGGGGCGGACGGCCTAGTGAGGCCTAGTAGGGTTATAATAGGGTTTTAGGATTTAATTAATGAAAGCTTTGGGAGGGAAAATTCAAAATCAAGGTCTGTTTAGGGAATTGTATTTGTGCTTTTGCTTTAAGTAGTTTTTTTCTCTCTAGGATTAGGTTATGTGATGTTTATGTAGAATTTATATTTCTCCAAAGTTTGTTTTGGCTCTATTCTTCAACTAAAGAGTTGGAGAGAAGGATCTTCCTCTCGAATTGAAGATCCACTGTATCTTGTCCTTTTTCTTTATTATTTCAGCAATTTCAAAGATTTTCAAGTGGTTTCCTTCAGGTTTTTCTCCCATAAATCTGATTTGTGCTTGCTAAAATCTAAATTTCTGCACCAGTGTTCTATCAGATGCATTTGAAGCAATGGAAAACTCTTTTGCTCAACACTCCTATAGCTCCTCATTGTCTTTCTTGTGCTTTCATTGAACAATACATTTCATGATTCAAGTTATTTGGGTGTAAATTTTTTCATCATCATGAATTTACAGAATGTTTTATAGCATTGATCACTCTTGATATTATTGCTTCAAAAATTGTAAATCTGTTGCTAAATTTATTGAAGGTGCCGGAAATGCTACGGATGCAACTTTCTGATTTGTGTCTACAGATCAAATCTCTTTCTCTAGGTGATATAAAATCTTTTCTCTCTGAGGTCTGTTTTGCTCCATTTTTAACTTTCTATGTTTTTTGGCAAAATTCCTTTTTCTTGTTTTATTCGTTATCTTTTTATAATAATACTTGTAGAATCCATTTTTCGTTTTTCTTTTTTAGTGGTTTTCTTCTCATTTCTTTTTCCAGGCATTAGAACCACCCGGAGAAGAGGCTATTTCCTCTGCAATTGACTTGCTATATAAAGTATGACAATTAATTTGCTAATTAATAATATACGCCCCACTTTTCCATTTTCTTTTATTACTAATTAGGTAAAAAACATCTAATTAGATGCCTTATAAAAATTGATAATATTTTCTGTTTACTTTTGTCAGGTTGGGGCCTTTGAAGGATATGAGGAATTGTCACCGCTTGGTTATCATTTGGCGAAACTTCCTGTGGATGTCCGTATTGGAAAGGTCTTGTCTCTCTTTTTTGTGTTTGTTCTAAAATCATGACCTCTTATGTGAGAAACCTTCTTTAACTTTATATTCTATCATAAAAAAACAGCACTTAAAAATTCCATAATAGCATTTTAAATTTAAAGCTCATTAAACTAAATTTCTTTTGAAATTTCTCCATAAATTTTAATATACCTCAAATGTTGGGAAGTCAAGAAAATTTTTCATATATCCTTTTGTAGTTTTGTTGATCGTTTGATTTGATTGCTCTTAGCTATACCTATATTGACTATAACAGTTTACATAGATTTTAAACAACGAAGAGTGTCAAGTCATGTTATAAATAGATGGAAGATGATTTCCTTGCATTTTCATTGATAACATATATTAAAAGTTATATTGCAATGAGTTTTAAGGCAAAATCAATTATTTGTGATGTAAAGAAGAAGTGTTGGGCATAATTTAAGATGCTTCAACATAATAGTTTGATTATATATATACTTTATAGGATTTCTTATTTACAATTTTTTAATTTAAACTTTTTAATCCATTTATATTAGTTTAGAAAGAAAAAACTTCTAATTTTTATTTATTTTAGAAGATTTTTTTTCACCGCCTGTTTTTTAAATTTTGGTTCTTCCACTGATTCTAATGTTTCAAAAATTAAGAATAATAAACTAAAATTCATACTTTTTTTAGTTTATTGCTGATTGATGATATGCTCTCCTATCAAATTTCCGATTTCTTTTAAAATTGTCTTATTCTTTGTATTTTATATTCTCTGTTGCTAGGTTAAACATCTTTAAATTTAATCATAAATTTTACAACTTAATGAAATATTGGTTTGGTTGGATGATCAACGTAGATTGGTAAAAGGTCCTGTATAATATTTTTTAATTTGTAACATTGTTGGTGTTACATTTTGGTAAACAAAACCTGTATATTGACTAATTTTTGATAGGGATATCTCGTAGAGCACTAATATCAAAGTTTCAGTATATGCACACACTCAAAGATAAAAAATTCTAATATTCGGCTTTATACTGTGTTATAACACTCAAAGATATGCTGCATTGTCTGAGATTTTTGCTACACTTGTCCTTGAATAAGCTATATGTTTTTTTTTTTTACTTATTTTTTTGTGCTGCTTTATTGGGCTACAACTTTCTTGTTCGTTTTTAGAAATTTGCGGTGGAAAGCAAAATTTATAATCGTATCAACTAGAGTGTAATAACTGCAAGGAAGCTGCTCCATGATCTATAACAACTTTTATTGAAAACTACAATCGCTCTGAAAAAACCCTAAATTTTAATAGTACATGCTATATTTCATCATTTGTATTCTCTTTTTATTCAATTGAAAGCTAATAATAAAATTTCCAACGCATGCTGTTTCTAGATCACATTAAAACTTGACACTCAATCCTTTGAATGAGTATTGTTGTTAGATCTCATTGGTATTTTTTGCTATTTGGTAGAGAGTGCTGTCTCTTGAAATTTTTTTAGATTGGAAGATATATTTTTGTTATGTTTTTATTCTTTTAATTGAGGATATTCATCTATTTTGTTAACTTTTCATTCATCTTGAATGCCTATTTATATGCATCTGATAAAAAGAATTTATCTTCCAGCAAAGACATTATGTATATGCAGATATATGATATGCCATATTTGTATTGTATAAATGATGATATTTTGTGTTGTATGGTATCATTGTCAGATTGTCATTGCTTGATTCAACGTGAAAAAAATATAAATATCAAGGTTTTGAAAATCTGACCGGATAACGAACCGGAAGAAGAAAAGGTTCACGGTTCGACCAGTCGGACCGGGGTCGACTCTTCTCATAGAAGTATCCATCATGCATATATTGTTGGAACTAAAAAATACAAGTTGTTTAGTCCCACATCACTTAAGAGCTTTATGTTTTGTTATTTATATACATTGTCTTGTATGCATGAGTTTAGAGCCCTCATGGGATGAAGGAATCATGTTGGTGTGATACATTTGTATTTAATGTATATAATATTTAAAAACTTTTGGAATTATATTATCATATTTAAGTTAATTTAATATTTTAAAAAATATTTTTATATAAAATTAAATTATATTATAATTGAACCGGACGGTTTTAAGAACTCGGCCGCTAGACCGGTTTCTTAAGAGGACCGAACCGGCCTTAGGACTGGTTCACGGTTGAACCAGTCGAATCGGCCGGTCCGGTTCGATTTTTAAAACCATGATAAATACCATCAGTAATGCTAAGATTTTTATTCTTTATGTTCCGGCCTTCTGCAGCAGCTATGTTTCATAGTAAGTAGTTAATAATATCTAAGAAGGGAAAAAAAAAAAGGATTGGTGGAATTTGAAGGTAAATCTATGAAAATAGGTGGTGGAAATTTTATTTCTATTACTTTCATCTCTTCTATGCTATCCCTGCGTAAATCATGTCTAAAACACATACATAGGGAATGGGTTTGGATGCCTTCATCCCAGCATGACCACCTTAAAGTAATCATTATTGGATGCTTGGTAGTGTTGTATTATACATTGCATTCTGAGCATAAAATGTTATACACTTGGAATTACTTGCCAATTTTTGAACTGATTTTCTTTTGGTTTTCTTTGCTTTTTAACGTTTTGATGCCACTAGCCATAACAGGTTCGACATACCATGGTTATTTCCTTCAATTTCTTTTCTACTTTTTGACCTTTAGATATTGATTTATTTTCAGGTACTCAATAACACGCAGAGTATTTTTTTCCACTTTTATTTATATGCTAAAATTTATCGTATGTGCAGATGATGTTGTATGGTGCAATTTTTGGTTGTTTATCACCAATCCTTTCAATTGCAGCCTTTTTGAGCCATAAATCTCCATTTCTGAATCTCAAGGATGAGGTTTATTAGCTTACACTAAATAAGCTTTTTTTTATTTCGCTAAAATCTTGATTCACATTAAGTTTTATGAGTTTTCTATTGCAGAAGCACAATATCTTGAGAGCAAAGTCAACTTTGATGACTTACGACCTTAATGGTTGCACTACTGCTAATGAAAGCAACAAGCCATCAGATCATCTATTATTGGTTGTTGCCTACAACAGATGGTCTAGGATTCTACACGAGGTTTAAAATACTACTGTGCATGATATTTTATTGTGATCCTCATTATCAAGAAGCTATTAACATTTAACTAGACTTGTTCAAATTTTTAGGCCCTACGTATCAACCTCATGCAGTAGGATGAAAAATATTTTTCCATTGTACTTCATATAGTGCCACATACTTTCCTAAAAGTTCAAAATTTTATATTGATGATTTTGCAGAATGGGTCAACTGCTGCATATCGTTTTTGCAATTCGTTCTTTTTGAACAGTTCTGTCATGTACACCGTAAGGTTAGACTATTTCAGTTGTTATTCCTCTGTTTTTTCCCGAAAGTACTTTATCTTCTTACCCTGTCCTTTAATGAGTTTTGTATAATAAAATTGAATACATGACAAACAATTTTATAGAATAAGAAATTAATAGTTATTAATCAATATTGTTAGGTGATTAAGTGATATCTAGATGTGATAAATTTAAACATCTTTGATATATTATAAAAAAAGAACGAGGGATGCTTATGAGGACGTACTGTCTGGAGTCAAAGTTGAGTGGTTTAAATGGAGCGCCTTATGAGTGCATGACATCTAACAATATCATGGAGTCTTAAGGGTATATTTTATAAAACTAATGTTAGATCATACATGCTATATGGATATAACTACTGGGCAATAGAAAGTCACAAAATCGGAGTTATGTTTTGTAGAGATGTTAAGATAGACGTTTACAAAGTTATAAGTTTAGTTTGATAATTGATCGTATGAGAATGACCGATGCAAGTAGCGCTTTGATGATAAAATTGTGGTTAATAGAGTTGTGTGATGGGTGCATGTGGTGCTGAGGATAGAAGATAGACCAATATGATGGACATATAAAATTAATGCAAAAGAAAAATGGGGTAGACCAAAATTAACGTAGGTAGAAATTGTGTAAAAATATTCATGCAAAAATAAAGTTAACACCATAAGAAACTCGTAACATGAATATTGACAGAGGATTTGTAAAGCTGGCCCAAAATTGTTGGGTTGATGCTAATGAAGATGATGATGCTGGCCTTACCAATTATTTACTATGAGAAAACTTGCCAAGCACCTACATGTACATGTATCTATTTTTTGCATGGTATGTACTCTATGGGCTTCTTGATGGTCTTGACATTTGAACTTGATTAGCTGCTGAGTGTTTATGGGATCATTTGTAAGCATGCACGCACGTACTCAAAACATGCTATATTTGATACATGCATATATTTACACATTTGAAAAGACAAATAGCTATGATCTGATGCCACCAAGCATGCATGCAAAGAGTGAATGCATTATTTTCTAGAATTATGTTATCCATGTTAAAGCAAACTTTTAACTGCGTATTTCAATTATTAAGACTAATCGTGGTCTCTATATTGGATTTTTTTTTCCTGTTTTGCTAACATTTTCTAACTTGGCAGAGACATGCGCATACAGTTTGGCAATTTGTTAGCGGATATTGGACTTATCACTCTCCCAAAAAATTTTAAGGTAGATGTTTTGTGATAAATTCTCCTGGCTTTTCTTGGCATTGCTGTATAATTTCTTATTTTGATCAATGCTAATAAGTTTTGGCTTGTTGACCTTCGTATAAAATAAAAAAAAAGGTGAAAATCCCGTAGATAATACCTGTAAACCGTCGGATCCTTAAAATCTTGCCGAAATCGCGCTGAAATCGGCGCCGTTTGAGTCGCATCCTGCGGAAATCCTGCCCAAATCCCGCATTTCTCCCTCGATCGCCTCCCGTTTGCATCTATAAAAGGAAGACGAGCTCAAGCCTTCGGAGATACCACGACCAGTCCTTCCTCTTCGACCAAATCCCGTTCGCTATCTGCAGCTCCAACCCGACGCCTCCATATCTCCGATCTCCTCCAAGCCGCAGCAAACCCGAACATCCCTCTCCGATCGAACTCCAGGCCCAGACTTCCGATCCCGCCCTTCTCTCTGTGCCGACCTGCTCTTACCCGCCGAACTCCAAGCAGAGAGAGAGAGAGAGAGAGGGAAGCACCGAACCCTACCTCTCTACTTGCCGCCGACTTCACCTCCTCCTCCGACGTTCTCTCCCTGTCGGATTGGAAGTTGCGGCATTTTGATCGAGTAACCACGGGAGCTCACTTACTGCGAAGGTATCTCCCTCACGCACGCTTCTTCGGTCGGATCTGATGAACCCGACGGGATTCAGCTCAAATCCTGTTCGAATCTTATGATTTTGCTCAAATCATTTCATAGATAGGGTTAGATATAATTAGTTATAATTATTTATAATTAATTATTATAAATAATGATTGATTATTAATAATTATATTTAATCATTTTTTTTAATTCTTAATCATGCCTAATTATTATTGATTATATTTAATTTTTATTAACTATAATTAATTGATATTAATTGTAATTAATTATTATTAATTGTTATTAATCAAAAATAATTATAATCAATTATAACTAGTCATGACTAATTAAAATTAAGAAAAAAATATGATATCTCTCTCCCTCGATCCTCGGGCCGACACCGACAACCCTACGAAGGTACGAAATCTCCTAAACTCAGATTCTCGCCCTCGGAGTTAGCGGCGGACCGGAAAACCGCCTATATACACGCCTTTATTGCGCGTGGTGGGATGGGACCCCGGTCCGACGCCTACGACGAGGCTCCAAACCCATGCTGCTACTATATGCCAGATAACACGTATATTCTACGTATTTGGTTGACGACTAGCCTTAATCGAAAGTTCTCTCTCATGATCGGGAGGGGTAATTAACTATAGGGGCTTGCGCCTATAGGAAACCAGAACTCAGATCATAAAGTCCTCACAAAATGAGGGCGAAATCTCTGGATATTGTCTTATCTACAAACCCATCTGCCTTCCAAAATTTACCTCGGAACTTATATCCGTTAAAACTCCCCTCGCTCATAATAGAAAGAAAAGCGCGGCGGGGAGGCCGGGGCCGAATTTTCGGAGCCCACATGGCTGTATTTTAATTTTAGTTTCAATGTCGTTGACAACTATCAAGTCACACGCTGAATCCATAAATCCCATGATGGGGGCTCTTATGTAGAACACTTGCATGCACTTTCCATTATCTCACTACAATGTGAGATGGTCAATGCACACTTGTCCATTTATGGAGGCAAATCCTTAATTTTTAATCCGCTCTCACATCCACATTATGGCATTGATAATCAAAATTATTTATATAGAGAAAAGTCCAAAATAGTCCCTAAACTATTTCTATGTGGCTAATTTTATTGTAAAGTGTCACATTTTTCGAATTTTCTTCATCAACTATACAAAATTGATCTCAAATGACCCCTTAGTAGAATTCGATGAAAATTGAGAGATAAAATTGCTCCCAATTTTGTCCTCACTATGCAAAATTCAACCAATTTAGTTCCTGATGGATCATTTGGTATCAATTTTGTTTAGTTGAGGGTCTATTTTAAAGAAATGTGATAATTTGAGACTATGACCACCTACAATAAATTGGGGAACAATTTCGCTTAATATATCTTGGTTACATCTGATATAAATTTATAATGTTGCAAGAAACTACAATTGAGTGATTGTTAAGGGATTTTGGGGAATTATAACACTTGCTTATTGTGTTTAATTTAGTTATTGTGTTTGGGTACAGGTGTTATATTGATATTCTGGTTACTCTGCCTAGTTGAAACATGTCTGGCAATTGTGTAAACCTAGAGCAAAACCGCAAAAAATGAATGGAGAATCTGTGTGAGTAAATTATGAGCATTGCTTCCTTAAGTTATTGCAATTGTTTGTAAACAATGACAATAATGGGACGAGCTCTTGCTGAATCCGTAATAGTTCTGTCATTCATGGTTTTGACAGTTGTTTTTTTGCTGGTTGATAAGTCTGAGTTCTATGAGTTTGATTATTCCTCTTAAAATAGATGTTGCACTGGAAACATTTGCTCTGGTCGGTTCTCAACCTTTGACGTTTTAAAAAACATAGACTTTGGTAGAAACAATAAACCACAGAACTCAATTCTTCTTTCGCAATAATGAAAATGTGGACCTTATCATCATAATTGTCACGACCTTGACCCGGAGGCTCAAATAAACAAAGCGGGAACAGACGGACAGATGATAGATTAAATTTTTATTTACTAAATCTATTTCCAATACACTGAAAGAACCGTTAAAACTTAAAAAATATATAAATTGATATAAAATGAATTAAATACCTTTCATTCGATGCGTCACGTCTACGATACACATTTTCATATTTTTTGTTCATTTTGATTATATTAAATTATGACATAAAATATTAGTGCAATTAAAAATAAGCCACAACTCAGTGAATAAAACATGCTTCTAAACTATAGTAACCCAAGACAATTGGAATAATATACATGATCATTTCAAGTTATATCTTAAAGTAATTCATTTAGATTCATTGCATTTCAAAAATTTCAATATCATGAATATACAATATCTTTATTTATATATGTCATTCTTTCTCATAAATAATACAACCGTCATAAGAGCCACCATCTAATTTAATATCAATGAAGGTACTCCTTTTCCAATTCATTTTTCTTTTTCATAACTTTTTCCATTTACGTGCATCAGTACATTGTGTCCTTAGCCAGTACTATAAGGGGTGTGCTCCATCAGTCAACATACACATGTAATTATTCTACATAAGTTATTTCATTTACCTTTTACCATATCATTTTATATTGATTTAATTAACAAACATCATGACATAGGATATATAACATCTCTTATGATATAAAATTCAAATCTTCCAATTCAACATGATCAATTATTTGGCATGTGAATCATTTGTAATGCAATTAGAAGCAATACAATTACCAAAAATTAGGAACATGAATATTCACCTTGATTCAGATATTTTATAGTTCCGCTCTTACTCCTTACAAAAATTGCTATTCAACTCCTACACAAAAGACATTATTAAATGTCAAAGTTTTGAATTACTGCTTTCTTGCTTTTAAATTTTCTTTCTTTTTAAATATATTTATTTTTAATATAATAATATAATATTTCACTAATTAAGATGTCATTATTATTAAATTTAAAATACATGCACTCTCACTCTTTCTCTCCGATTTTGCTAGTTAAAACACTTAATTGTTCTTGTATCTAATATGTTATATTCAATTAAAATGTTCTATGATCTCATTTATTATTCTCAAAGATATGCTCATAAATTTTATAAATAAAATTTACTAAAATTAATCATTTTAATTCAATAATTCTCAGTTATAAATTTTCATTATTTCAAAAAAATAAAATTTTACAAGACATACCTTGAACTTCTCATCTAAAAAATTGTTCATGCCTTAGCTTGCACGTAAGTAACTTCCTCCTTCAGCAACTTGCTCTCAGGTGCCGACTCCCTTCTCTCTCTCTCTCTCTCTCTCTCTCTCTCTCTTTCTCTCTCTCTCTCTTTCTCTCGATATCACTCCTTTTCCCTTTCCATCGTCTTCAAATGACGAAGCCACCCGCGAATTAGAAAAGTTCCTTATTCTTCTTCTCGGTTGCCTTCAATCCCATTCGTTCGTTTGATTTCACAAGAGTGAGCGAAATGTAGTTATTCTTCACAATTAGTTATTACTTTTCGTATCCAATTAGTTATTACTAAAAGCTCCTATGCTCGCAGTTTGGCTGCTCGACCAACCCGCCTCACGTGTTCTGCTCGTTTGCTTTCATTTAGGACCGGTTTACTTGAGCCGGGAAAATCCGCTTCTTACAATCTCCCCTTATAAAAATTTCATACTCAAATTTTACTTATAACTTCTAGTTACATAAGTAAAATAGCATGTCCAATTTTATTCAAGATAAACTTCAACATTCGATATATAACTGAATAAAACTAAACATCTGATATAACATAACAAGATAACCTGATTAAACTAAAATATCTAATATAGCATAACAAGTTACTAGATTAAAAGCATCTCATTATTCTTTATTAACATATATTGATTCATTAGGCTCTTGCTAGGTCAAAGTATAAAGTCGCAGTCGAACATTCTGCCTTGGTTGAGTTTGTGTTGGAGTTGAAAATGTAAATTTCATCGTCTTTTGTTTGCCAAAGCTCTTCTATGAAGGTCTTCACTTGATCTCCTCTCTCCTGAAGTCCTTTGAACCAATGTATGATAATATTTTGCAATGCGTCCAAGCTGACAACACCAATAGCAAGTGTGTGAACCCATCAAACATTCACCGTTATGAAATCTTTCACACTTAGCACCAGCTTCCTTGACTCTGCTAACAACAACACTACTAACTCCACTAGGGCTAAAGTTAGGCTTCTTTCCATTGATCCTTTAATCTGATTAATGTACATATCTTCTTCAATATTATTTCTTTTATATTGATCTCTTCGCTTCTGAGTTATTTTAAGTTCAATTTTCACCCTTTTAGCTCTCTCTACCAACACTGAATAATCCTTGATTCCTAAAGGTATTAAAGGTTGTCTAATTGCATCTTTTAGACCAAATAGGAATCGATAACATTTCTCCTCTGTTGTTGCAATTAGCTACGTACATATTTGGATAAAGTTATAAATTTTGCTTCGTATTGCATTACTGATTTGTTTCCTTGAACTAGTCTGATAAATTTATCATGCATCTACCTCCTTGCTGACATAGATACGAACCATTCTCTGAAAAGTTATACAAAATCTTCCCAGTTGACCGGTAAATTTGAAATATCTCCTAGCCTGTGTTCGCATTGTCCTCTCCCTCACCTTTCTGCTTCTCCATCCAAAACAAATGTAGCGAAGTAGCACTTTCCATTCATCAGGACAAGACATACTATCCAATATCTTCTCTACACGAAGCAACCAATTCTCTGCCTCAATTGGTCTTTCATTACCTTTGAATGGTGGTGGTCGCATGTCCCGGAACAACTTCAAATATTTATCCACTCCAACTCCAGGCTGTGATCTTGATTTCTGAAGCATTTGGGTCATAGCCACCATCATATGGGTAAAAGTATTGGTGTTCATAGTCATTTCAGGTGGTACTTCTCCTTCCATATTTCTATTAGTTACTTCCTCTTGATCTTCCGCATACCTGATATATATATTAGATAATTAATTATACTATCTAATCGAATCTCTAAATTCTTTATAAATTATTCCTATGGCGCTTTCATTTTGATTCACATTCCAAAGATACTTATTGATCTCTGATGCCACTTTTGTCACGACCCGGCCCAGAGGCTCGAATTAACAAGGCAGGAACAAATGGTCAGATAGTAGATTGAATTTTTATTTGCTAAATCTAACTTCAATACACTGAAAGAGCCCTAAATGTCACAACCCAGCCTAGATGCTCGACTTAACGAGGCGGGAACGAAAGTCAAACGGTAGGGTTAAGTTATTTTAATTCATAAGTAATCCAACATTAAAACATAAAATTTTCTCCTTTATATCCGAAAAGCCACTAAAAAAAATTCTCATGTACTAAACATTTATAAAGATCATAATTTACCTGTTTTCAGTGTTGCGTCGTTTTCTATACATGAATTCTTCACTTTCTAACTTTTTTAAATCTCTAAAGACTTACCTAAAATATTTATTTAGTAGAATGAGCTTACAAATTAAACTCAGTGGGTAACAGTTAAAAATAATTTACATGAAACAAAATAAATACATACAACCTTTAGTATACGTCTTACTCGTTTAATAATGATTATACATTCCCTTATCTTTATTTTATTTATTTCAATCATTTATGCATATCATATTATATTCCTTCCTAACATTCATAAAGCTTTAATAATTATTCATTTTCCCAATTTAATTATTACAGGAGCACTGTCTATACGTACCTAAGATACAACCATTTTCATTTTTCCTTTTCTATAACCATTTTCTTTTTATGTGCACGAGTACATTGCTTCTTCAACCAGTACCATACGGGAGTGAACTCCTGTAAGTTTTGCATGCATATCCTTTTCCCTTTAACGTCATTTCATTTATACATTAATTTATCATATAAGTCATTTTATTCTTTCACCACTCTTTGCTTATATTCTTTATTTATGCAAGTATTATATATCTATTTCCTTTACATATGCATTTATATCCTCCATTTGAATCGTTTCACATAAAAACATCAAAAGATAAATAAACATTACTTTTAAAATTTAAACAAAACATTTAAAAATAATATATAAAAATGTCTATACATAATAGTAATCACTTGTCATTATCATAGATATTCCTTCCAAAGAATATGAAAATACAATAAGAAAATTTATACATAATTATAATTACTCACTTTGATTCTCCTCTTCCAATATTCGTCTGGTATTGAAACTCTTTTAACTGTTCACAATAACATAACAATTAATTAGTATTAAATTCAAATTTGGATGCCTCAACAATGTTTGATTTCTTCAATAGCATTACCTCACAATAGTTTTCTCCTCCTTCCTTGTAGAATTCTTGATGAATCGAACTCCTACAACTTTCGATCTCTTCCTTTCCAAAAATCTCTAAAATCGTACGATCAAAATTTTCATGAAAACTTGATTTAACTAATAAAGTTTAATAACAATTACATGATAGGAATTTACTTACAATGGGGATTTCCCCAAAATCTCAAAATCCCTCCTCTTTCACTTCCAAAATTCATTCTCCTTGTTTTCAATCTCTTCCTTTCTCTTCAATTTAATGTTTCTAATAATTAGAAAAAAAGATTAGGAAACAATTTTTACAAAATTTTAAAACAAACCTTTTTCCCTTTCCTTGTTGTTCCTCTCGCTCGTTGAAACTTCTTTCAAATTTATCACTCCTCGAATGGTAGGAATGAAAAGGAGTTGCTTAATCTTACCCTCCAACGCGATTGACTGCTAAAAATGGCGAAAGAAATCTTCCCCAAGCCTTTCGTTCAAATTCGGTCGTCCGCCCTCCGCCTTTGTTTCGCAAAAATGCGTCTTTAATTAGAAGGCTGTCAGGTTCAGTTGAACCGGCCCAGCCAATATCGAATTTTACACTAAAACTTAAGAAAAATATAAACTGATATAAAATAAATTAAATACCTTTCATTCAATGCGTCACATCTACGGTATATGCTAATTTTTTGGTGAGAAACAATTTGCATATCTTCTGGGTAGATGCTGATTATGGTGGTTCGTTTGGATTGTAATCATCCGTATATTTTACTCCATTGACGGGAACAATATTGTCTTGATTATTCTTCTTTTAGATGCTACTGCTGTAGAACATCTTGAGTATAAAAATTAGCAAAACTGCTTTTTATTCTTTCTAATATATTGTAAACATTGTTCTCTTTTTCCTGATTGGCTGGTTGCCATGTTTACATGTTCACCCATTTTTATCGTTTTACATCTTACCTCTACATCATTATTTTTCATGTATTTGTGGCTGCTTACATTTTCTAAAAGCAGGGCGATGGTAGAAGTAAAGACAAGCTAGAGAGTTGGTTTGCTGATATGAAACAGCCATTCAACGTCCATGCAATGCATTCTGCAGTTATCATGGTAAGATGTTTTAGTTTTGAAATGCATAATTGTGGCTGATTCTGTATTGCATTTATTTTTTTGCCATTGTTAATGGTCTGTCCTGCAAGGGTTTTCATGCAAACTCTCTTGTTATATATTCTATGGATTTTTCTCTCATGCTTAATTCACTTCTCATGATCATTTTTGTTTTGAAATTCTCTTTTTCAATTGCTCTATAATAGGGTATCAAGTATGCAAGGGTTCAGTTCCTAATTAAGAAATGATGCTTATGATGTTCCTGCAGTCTATTTTGTGTGCAGGTCTGTATCCCAATGTGGCTGCAACCGTAGAGGGCACTACTGGCGTACCTCTTGTTTACAATAAAGCACCGTCGAACAACATTTCTACAAATGATTGCTCTCTTTTGTTTGATGGGAAAAGAGAAGTTCATCTTCATCCATCCTCAGTGAACTATAACATAAAACGCTTTCAGTATCCATTCCTTGTTTTCCTTGAAAAGGTAATAATATGACATCCTCAATTCTGCTCACTTTCCTTTTGCAGAGAGCCAATAAATCACAGAATATCATTTGCAGTTTGAATTAAAATGAGGCAAAATGACAATGAGCTGCTCCTCTACTTATTGCCGTAGATTTTTTTCTTCAGCCTCCTCTCCATGGAGTATGAACTACAAAAAAAAGCGAAATTTACATGCATGACTATTTACTTAGAGGCCCTGGTTTTCCCCATTGGACCCACCTGAATATGTGCACAAATAAAATAAAGAAGTGTGGAAATATTACTTTAATTGTGGGTTCAAAATTATCATGGCTGGCTCTCTTGTGAATGTGTGCTCTAGTTTAAACTTTCAAAATGCATATTGGCATCAATAAAACACTATCCAGATATTTCATCTTAATTTTGTGAGGACTTTGTGATCTTATTTGAGGTTTACTAAAGCTATAAATTCCTATGGTTAATTACTCCTAGATCGTGAGAGGGGACCTTTGATTTAGGTTAGTCAGTAGGCGCAATGCTTAAAGGAGTACTAATCACTTAGAGTGGATGGTGAGTGAAATGATAACAAGCTTAATTAGGATCCATGGTTTCTTCGTCTCAGGTTGTCGTCGACCCTAATTTATATTGTGGAGGTATTTGACCCAATCTAATCGAAAGATCCTTATAAGTAGCCATGAGTTGCATCATAAAAAGTGATCTTATAGACTTGGGTGGACTTTTTTTAAAGGGATGATTTTTAGTTTACATTAGCTAATAAAGGTCTTTATGTCATATTAAGTGCACTTTATGATTCACCATTTAAAATGATTGAGGGGAATTTTAAGGCTTTGACCTTAACCATAATTTAGTAGTGATAGTTTGATTGAGCCACCCAGTCAAAGTGCCTTATTTGTAACCCTAACTAAGTAATATCATTTTTTAACTGAAATTACCCCAGTAGAGGATACATGCTAGTCCTTGCTTGTGTAAGATCTTTGAGAGTGATCCTGGAAATTTGCTTGATATGCCAATAGTTGTTTTTGTGAGCCTTGATAAACTATTGCAGATGATGGATGGATAGTTGCTTTTAACTTGAAATGGTACTGTTTTTTTTTTATATATTTTATGACTTTTTTATATTTTAATAGAGATTTGGGTCAAAAATAATTTTCTTTGGAATTTGAGGGTATTTTTAAAGTAGGTTCTCTTTTGATTGGCATTATTCATCAACACAGTTATCATTGGAGGACAGTTGCATTATCTATATTTGTAATTTGAAAGCCTAATTTTTAAAATAGATCCCTCCAATTATGATGTGCAATAAGCATGCTCATCATAGGTGTAAGATGCTTATATTTGATTTCTTAAAACCTTATTAACTCTGTACGCTTACGTGGTTATCTGGTCCTTAAGTAAGGGCTTTCTATATGAGACACACTGTGTGTGCATGATTATTTTTATTTTTGAAAACTTGGCTTATTACAGTGAGCCATGCAATTTTCTTTTATTTGAAAATCAGTTATCCTATGATTGATTTTAGATTATTTACATGTTAATATTTAGAAAAATTAATTTTATCCTAAGAGCATACCGTATAACACATGTCCAGGCCAGCCGTAAACAAAAGCAAGTAAACAAATCTAGGAAAAGTATGTATTTCTAATGCGCACCCAATAAAAAATCAAAACATATATGTATATTTATAAATAAATCAATGCAAGAAAGTAAAGTGTAATGTCTAATTATTACAATTATGGGAAAGATGTAAAAGTGTCAGCTGAGTTGCTTGACTTATACGAAGTAAAGTTTGTGTTGGCTATGTGATATTGCACACTACAAGTGATATTTTACTTTATTGGAGAATAGTAGATATTCAATTTTAATCCAAGAGGTGATTTCACTTTAAGTTATTTGTGACTTAAAGCTTTTATTTAATTTTTATAATTGTTTATTATTTAGAAAGGTTATGAAGAACCCATAAAGCACTCACTGCTTGCTTTAAGGCATGCTTGCTACTAATGAAATCTTAAGATTTAATGGTGTAGGCACTCCACCTTTTGGGATGGAATGATTTATCATTGCATCAAAAGAAACTTAAGTGATTTTTAGGTATTTTAGTGGTTCTTTAATGTTTGGATAAGAGAGAAATATTTATCTAATATGGTAAGGTAAACATGCCTAAGAGTTTGGCTTAGAACTTTGTGAAATTCACCTAATTGGGTAAGTGAATTTCAACAGAAAGACTCATAAAAGACATCTAAAGATTATATTTAAAATGTCATAAGAGGATAAATATCACTTACTTGGTTAAGTGAAAATGTTAATTAGAGTTTGAGTCTAAGTAGAGGGACCACCTATTTGATTGAGGATCAAAGTAGATGAGACTGAAAGACCCAAAGCTTTGCAGCTGAGGGAGTGGGGAATTCTCTTCAACTTTTGGACCGAAGGAGGAGAAAATCTCCTATAACTTTGAGGTTGGAGGAGATTAGATTGAGGTCTATAGCTTTGAGGCTGATGGGGACATCAGCAGCGATTTCAACACATGAGATGCCGGAGATCGACGACCACGATCATGATCTGTATTTTCATCATTTTATGTAGTAGTTTATTTTTATTTTATGTTTTACCGTTTTTTCCCTCATGGGTATTTGGTAGCTATTGTAGCCCAAGGGGCATTTTAGTCTTTTGCTTATTTGTCATTTTGAGGCCTATTTATAAGGCTCTTTTCTCATGTAATAGTTAGTTTTATGAAATGAAAATTTTCCACTTATGTTCTCTTTGTGAGTTCACCCTCCTCGATCTCTTAGTGAGTTCGTAGGAGGAAACTAGATCTCTTTGTGAGTTCTAGGTGGTTTTGTTCTACTATTTTCTTTAGTTCTTTTGATCATTTCGTCAACGTGGAGATTTGGATCGGAGCATTTGTGGAGATTGGAATTCCCGTTTGAATCCCTTGTTTTTCCCCTACCATTTCTCCCTCCCCTTGCTCTGACGCCGCCTCTTCCAAGCAGCCCAAAGCCGCCGGCCTGAAATTCAGCCGCCACCGGCCAGCCTCCCGCCGGAAACTTCATAATTAATAAAAAAGATATGATTGTAGTGTTAATATTTGATGTAGTCTTAGTGTAACTGGAAACTTTTTTGTCACCCCCACAATTTTTCCATACGTATTTTTGGTAGTTTTAACATTACCTTTGACACTCCTATTTTCCTTCTAATGTTTGCTCAGCCAACCTCATGACATTGGGTCATTTCTCATCAATATTAATAAAAACATACAACAACAACAACAACATCAAGCCTTTATCCCACTACATGGGGTCGGCTATATGAATCATTTTTCT